CCTGGGCACACGTTCTGGGCATTAACTAGACGCCCAGCAGCCTTCAGCTGATGTCTTGGCTTCCATGTCTCTGGAATGTGTAATGTTGAAGTTTGAACTCACTATTTCGCCCACATTAGTCCCAAGTAGATTTAAGCCTGGCTGGTCCATAGTTGCACCCTTGAACGCTGCCTTTGCCCCTTTCCCTCAGACCTGTGCCATCAGTGTGCACCTTCCTTGCAAATAAACAACTTGCACTCTGATCCTTGTGCCAGAGAAGCCTCAGATCACACACACTCACACACACACACACACACACACACACACACACACACACACACACACAGAGTCCTCTAGGACTAGGTTCTATATCATGTCTTTTGGCAGATGATAAGCATTCAATGCATGTTTGTTATTATTGCCCTAGTATTTTTAAGTTCATTTTCTGCCTTCATTTCTTTTTGCATTAACTGCTCCATCCTTCTTCTTGCCCTTGTCTTACTCTGCTTTTCCCAGGCTACCTTTCTCTTTCATTGTGCCATTTTTTTCTGTCCTCTCAACAATTAATTGTCTCACTTCTTAATTTTAATATTTCCCCAGAGTCGTCATAGGTTTGATAAGAGGATGTTAATTTCCAAACAATTCCAAGGAAAAAATTGGCAACAGAAAAACAGAACAAACAAGCTTGGATGACTGTAAACTTCTTGAAGGCAGGAATATGAATGGTTTCACTTTGCCTAGAATGAACACATATGCTGGTATTCGGAGGGCTTTTTAAAAATAAGAGAAATGAGCAGACTTCCTTTTAATAAAAGAAAGGGACTAAATGAAATTTACTTCCTCTGTACATTACATCTGCTTCCCATCTGCAGTTTTAGCCCAAACGATCATTTTTTATCCACATCCACAACAAATTTGGCCTCTCGCATCTGCAGAGAAGCAGCCATTCACTAAACGATACCCTAGTGGTATGAGAGTGTTAATACACCTCGTTTATAAACAAGGAAAACACCCTGGCATCATCTGCACTATTAACCAATTTCCAATATGAGATTAATGCAAACGGATTTCTTGGGGGAAAGCGTTTATGAATAAAGATGGATTTTCTCATTAGTAGGATGATATCAATTCAACAAATCACACATTTGCAGTCTGACAAATCCTGACTTCGCAACAACAGGGATGTATGCATGGGGAAGAAGGTTTTGTCTTGAGAAATGCAACCACAGTGGATCCAAGAATGAAAAGCTTTCTGTCCAGAGGCTCAGACTTCTGAGGACCACGCGGCAGGGAGTTCGGCAAGGTGGCTGGAATGATCTTTTCTCAATGAGCTCGAGAGGCTCTCTGCTTCCCCAGGGGCCTGCCTCCATCTGTTCTGGGCCCCAGCGGGGGTAGAGGGGGGTGGTTTGTTTTTTTATGTTGTTGGGAACTAGCAAACAAACCTCCACCTTACTGTGCTAATGCCAGATGAGCAAAGCTACCAGAAGAAGAATTATTTGGGGGGGTCAGGACTACCCCAGGAGAGGGGAGAGCTGGGCAAGGTGGGAGGCATTATGTCAGAAGCCTATCCAGGTGGCCCTCTTTGGACCTTCCCTGTTTAACAAAGAAGGAGCTGGGGGTTTGAGGGCAGCCAACTGTTCATGGCTGGAGGCCAGACTTCATTTATACAAATGTTCCCCTGTTAGTTGCTCAGAGGAGAATTTTTCCACCTGTTCTTGCCTCTCTCTCCCTGCATGCCTCTGTGGGCTCGGGGCCCCGTGTACCCATTTTCCTTTGTGTTTGGAAGCGTGAAAGACGAGCTTTCACGGAAGAAGTCACCAGCCAGAGGTTCTTGGTTTAGAGCCCAGCTCTGCTGCTTGAGAGCTCTAGATGGGTTGAGGAATGTGGAGTCTTCCCGAGCCTCAGTTTCCTCATCTATAAGGCCAAAATGTGAAATTAGCTTCCTGAGAGGGTTCTTGTGCCAAGTGGATGAGCTAATGAACACACAATCAGAATTTAATGAGCACCCGTCCAAATGTATATACCACCAATCCGGGCAGTAGGAGAGTGAGATCATTCACTATTAGGGAGATACGAAATGGTGTAGGCGGGGGATGGGGGATTCTATGATGGGCGAAGATCTGCAAGAGAGAAGTTGTCAGGGTTACCGAGAAGTTTGGGTTCAATTCTCTCCCCCCCCCCATTGCCCCCTTCCCTTGGGGGTGGGTGGATGTTGATGATGGGGGTTGGGCCACACCCAGTGGTACTCAGGGGTTATTCCTGGTTCTGTGCTAGGAGTGACCCCTGGTGGTACTCAGGGGACTGTAAGTAGTGCTGAGGATTTGAGCTGAGGTTGGCAGCAAGATGGGGTCTTATCTCCCATACTGTCTTTGGGTTGGTTCAGTTCTTACCACCTTGTAGCTGGGTCATCTTGGGCGGTTACTGAACATCTCTGAGCTTTTCCCCACATCAGTGAAATGCAGATAGTGCCCTGACTCTTCTAGGATTAAGGAGAATAAATCCATCCACACAACAAATAGGAAAGGGCATAGGAAGTACAAGTCACTGCCACCAGTCTAGAAGTATGACCTGAGTTGCCATGAGAATAACATGGTCACAGCAGGCAAAGTATACCAACATGAGGTAAAGTATACATCAAAAATACCACGCAAACTAAATTTCTACAGCATGCTGACTTAGTATCGCCCAAGACAGGAAATGTTTATTTCACAGAGGATTTCTAGTTGCTGGACCTAGTTTGACATCTGCCAATTTGCTTTTGCATTAACTGTTTTATAAGGTCTACAGGGACATTTGAAAGGAGACACCATAAGGGATGTGTGTCTCTTTGCCTAGTCTGGAGACTCAGGGAGCAATGGAGGGAATAAAGGAGGCCCCTCATTTAACGTTGGTCAGGTCAGCACTAATTTTGATATCTGTGGGCCTAGTACTTCTTAAAAAACCATATACAAAAAATACGTTTATATCATATATATGGACATTATATGTCCACACATATATTCATATATATAGAGAGATAGATATAGATGTCCATATATATGTTTTTTTTTTTTTGGAGAGGAGGCTATACCCAGAAGTACTCAGGGATTACTTCTGGTTCCGCACTCAGATCACTTTCAGCAGGCTTGAGGGAACTATCTGGGGTGCTGGGGATCGAACTTAAGTTGGCAGAGTGCAAGGCAAGTGCCTTACCCACTGTACTATTGCTATGGCCCCTCAAACTATCACTTTTGAAACCTAGTCAGTTAGCAGGATTTGGGTTTGAAGGTAATACATTAAATTTCATCTCTCAGTGTTTTTTTTTCTGATTTTTTTCCAAGAAAAAAAATTTCTTTCCTCTTTATTAAAATCCATAGTGGCCACTGTGGTTAGGGACCACTGTTTTGAAACACCATTTTTCACAAACACAGAGAAGAGGATAGTGACCTATTTTTTGGAAAGATGATTTGACATATCTTTGAAAAATAAGCCAATCTCTGAGAAAACAGGTATTTAGCCAGTAATCTAATGTTTCTTGAGTCTCTATTCAGAGCAGAGTTATTTGCAAGAAAACAGAAGCTTGGGTTCTGGAGAGATCCTATTCTTCTGTTTTATTTCCCCTCTGAAATGATGAGTCGATGTTTGTGACATCACTGGGTTGCTGTGGAAATGTTTATTTCACAGAGGATTTCTACCTCAAGTGGGGAATTTACAAGAGGAAGTGTGAACTCCTGGAAAAACATAATTGGTTTAAACAAAAAGGGTCAGCGTTTGGAAAATAGATTCAGGAAGAAAACAATATAAATTGCCTATAACAGGTTGTTTTAAGTTTTCCTGCGAGGAATCACATACTTGAAAGAGCATCTTACATAGAGATTTAAAAAAAATCTCAATTGTACTTACTATAAATATCTGTCGAAAGCATTGGAGAGGGAGGAGAGAATTAGGGGGAGGAGCTAAAATGGGTTTTTGCAGAAATAAACTTTCAGCTACTCAAATTGAGGCTGAGAGCTTTGGTGCTAAAATGCTAAGGGTGGATTATATTCCTTTGTATTTTTATAACGTACAATGGATGTCAGAGAATAGCTTCATTTAAACAATTGTGACTCAAGGGGCCCGAATTTTCGTGCAGAAGCTACAAAATCCTTAAAAAAGAAAAGAAAAGAAAACAAAACAAAAAAAACGGTTAAATCAACAGAATGGCAAACTAGAGGCTTTCTTCCTGCTGGGGCAGTGTTGTCCCCTAAATCCACTTTTCAGTTCTCCCTGCCTAGCCTAGTTTGATGTAGCGTTGATTTAGCTTAACTACAGCAACCGGCTAAAGGAAGTGGGTTTGCATTTGGGATGGAAGGAGGCAGCCGAGGGCGTGTGCGTGTGCGTGTGCGTGTATGTGTGTGTGTGTGTGTGTGTGTGTGTGTTCGTTCGTGTGCGCGCGCGCGCGCACACGGGGTGATGGAGGGTTTGGGGGCGACGAGGGGCGCCGGCAAAGCAAGAAAACCGAGATATAGTAGTAACTGGGTGAAAATATTCTCCCCATAGCTGGAAGAGGGGTCTTTGCACGGGAAAGCAATGTTAGGAATTTAAAAAAAAAAGCATCCCAAACACAAACCCCCAATCTTCCAAGCGGGTCGGAGGAAGAAGGCTTGCCAGGAGGGTGCGGGGCGAAACGGGGGAACCTGTGCGTCCCCGCGGGCGTTTCTTTCCACTTGGGCGCGTCGGGGCTGCCCACTCGGCCAGCACGCACCTGCCGGGCGCTGCACCCGCGCCCCCTGCCGTCCCGGGCCACGCCGAGGCGGGGCGGGGCGGCGTGCGGGTGGCAAAGGTCTGGCGGCGCGGGGTGATTTAGTGGCCGGGGCTGTAGTACAGGCTGTCCCCGGCAGCCGGCGGAGTCAGCGCGCCCACGTGACGGCCCAGCTCTCCGGTGAGCTCCCCAAACAGACGCGCGCGCGCACACACACACACGCACACACACACACATACACACACACGCACGCACACACACGCACACGCACACACACACAGACACACACAGGCGCGCACTCACGCGCGCGCCCCCGCCGCCCCGCGCGCGCCCGCCCGCTCTGCCTCTGCGCCTGCCCTCCCCGCTCGCTCCTGCTCTCGCCTCCTCCTCGCGGTCCCTGCGGTCTCGGGCTCCGCGCGCGCCCCCCACGCACACGCACACACACGCGCGCACACGCGCAGCCGGTACAGGCGGCGGCGGCGGCGGCGGCGGCGGCGGCGGCGGCTGCTCAAGTCAGGACGATCCTCTCTAGGTACCGTCTTGAGCCGGCGGCGGCGGCGGCGGCGGCGGCGGCGGCGGCGGCAGCCCGAGCATCCCTGCTCGCCCCGGAGAGCGAGCGAGCGAGCGGCGCCCAGAGTTGCCATTCCCTCGGCCGTTCCCTTCCCCCCTTCCTCCCCTTGATTTTTGCGAGACAATTTCTTCTCCGCTTATCGGTTCAATTTGATTTTTGAGAATTTGGGGTTGCTTTTGTGTGTGTGCTTTTTTTTTTTCCCACCCCCCCTCCCTCCTCCCTTCCTCATTTTATTTGCATCCAGAGCATGGCGGGCTGCGGGCTGTCGGAAGACACCTTCTCTCCCTTCTTTTACAACTACGGCTCCTCCTGGGAAACCCCTTCCAACCAGGTAAGGGGTGGTTCGGGGCGGGCGGCCTCGTGCCCCCCGCCGCGCGCTCACTTGGCACTCGGCGGGGAGGCAGAGGATGGGAGGGGGGGTGGGGATACTGGGGGGCCAAGTGGGTCGCACTGGCTGGGGCAGAGCCAGCCGACGAGAGGAAGGTGCCCCCTCCCGTTACCCCAGCACTAGCTCTTCAGTCTCCAGGGTCTGTCGCGTCCCTCCCGTGCCCGATCTGCCATGGACACCTCCCCCCCACACCTCCCCAGCTCGGCGGGAGCCGGAGGAAGAGGCCCGAGCCGGCACGTTACCCCGAACAACTCCGGGCAGAATCAGGGAACTCGAGCGCAACCTTCTCCAAGTCGCCGCGGGCGCCGCGCCCCTGTGCACCCGGCGCCCGCCCGCCCTCCAGTTGCGCCGAGGGGCTGCGGAGCTGCCAGTCCCCAGTGACGTGCTGGCCGCCCCCGTCCACTCCCCCGGTGGCCCCCCGAGCCACCTCTTTCCCTAAAATGGCTGCAAATCTCAAGAGGAGGCGCCCCATGACCCCACGAGGGGGGGTGCAGAGTGGATGCTCGACTGCCCCTGACCCCACGCCTCCCCGGGCGCACACGGGCACCCGACGAACACACACACACTTAACTTTGATGACTGTGCAATGCAGTCCGGCTGCATCGTGCCCCTCCACGTTCCCTGCCGCCGGCCTCTAGGTGTGCATGTCGGTGTGACTTGGGGGTGGTGGTGGTGGGTGGTGGTGGTGGTGGTGTGTGTGTGTGTGTGTGTGTGGTGGCACTGGGGGGCTGACGCCGGAAGGGGTGTGTGTGTGTGGTGTGTGAAGGAGATGGGTGTTAGCAGGCCACTGGTGACCTGGCGAGACAGGCGTGTGCTCAGGGTCTAAGGGGTGCAAAAGCTATTCTGGGAGCCGGAGCGAGAAGGAGGAAAATGCCTTTTAATTAAATAACTGTGTAGTCTGCTGCCCCCACCGCTTGTTTGGTGAAAGTCTACAGGCTTCTGTCATCTCCAAACTACACGGGAAGTGAAGCAGGAGTGAGGGAGGAGTGGTGTGTGTGTGTGTGTGTGTGTGTGTGTGTGTGTGTGTGTGTGTGTGTGTGTGTGTTGGGGGTGTGAGATGGTCGAGTGCAGCCGCGTGTGTCCAGGTTGGGGAAAGTTGGGGGGGGGGGGTCCCGAGGCGACGTCAAGGAGCAAACGCTAGCAGGCTGCACAACGCGGTGGGCGGTCCGGGGCGTGCGGGATCCCCAGTCCGGGCAGCGCACCCTCGGCTGGGCTTTTGGGGGTGTCGAGGAAACAGAACGTCGTCGGCGCGGCTCAGCTCTCGGGCCGCCGAGGCTTCCGCGCCGCTCGCGGGGCTGCCCGCTGCCCTCGCCGGCTCTGGCGCGCTCGCTCTGGCGAGCTCGGGGCGGGCGGGACCCAGCCCGGCTCCCCCGACACGGGAGCTTGCAAACGCGCGCCGCAGGCTTAGAGGAACGGAGATGCCAAAGTAGTAGTTGCCGGGCGCAGGGCCGGGCGGGCGGCGGGGGCTGTCCAGGGCGCGCCGTGGCCGTGCGGGTGCGCGATCCGGCAGGGCGGCCGGGAGAGGCGCTGGCGGCGCGGCGGCGGCGGCGGCAGCGGTAGCGGCCGCGGCGGGAGACGGCGGCGAGCTCCGGCCACCCGGCCGGGCTGCCGTGGCGGGTGGGGGCCGTCTGGCTCGCCCGCGGGAAGCGCCGGCCGCCCGCCCCGGGGAAGCCGCCGCGGCTCCGGATGGAGCGCCGGGGCGGCCCAGGTGCGTGGAAAGTAGGGGGTTCGGGGTGAGGCGGTGGGGGGGGGGGAGGTAAAAAAAAAAGGAGAGGCCCCCCGCTGTGAGCAGAAACTTGCGGGAGCGACTGGGTTGGGCAGGCGCGGGAGTTGGGGAGCTGTGTGTGTGGGGGGGGGGGTGTGGGTGTATGTGCGTTGGGGGGGGGGGTGGGCGTCCAGAAGGGTGGCGGTCGGGTCCACTGGAAACGCTTTCTCCAAGCATCCCAGCCCGGCTGGCGGGTTCCTGGTGGTCCCCCACGCCTCCCCGCACCCGCTGCCTATTGCAGAGAGCCAATGATCGCTCAGGCTCGGGGAAACTCCGGCTGTCCAGGAGCGGGCGTTCGTGAGCCTCTGTGTGTGTGTGTGTGTGTGTGTGTGTGTGTGTGTGTGTGTGTGTGTGTGTTATGATAAGGGGCGGAGGAGTGAGTGTGTGTGTGTGCGCGCGCGCGCGCGCGCCTGTGTGTAGGACTCAGAAACCAACCCCGGCTTGCCTTTGAGGACCAAGACCAGCAGGAAAGACTTGCACCAGGCACCCGGCAGTGCACCCCTGGACCCTCCGGGATTCGGCATTTCTCGGCAGCAACCCCTCACCCCCACCCACCCTTCTGAGTCGATGGCATCGGGATAAGTTTCCAGGCGCTTATTTCTCACCCGCGCCTTAGGGCTGTGAAACTCAAGGGCCACTTGGTTCTCCCGCGCGGGAAGCTCGGCCAGGGGGTCTCGGGCGGCAGGGAGCTCGAAGCCACCCTGCCTGGCCGCGGCGCGAGGGTCGGCCACCTCCTTAGCGAGAGAGGGAACAAGTCCTTTGAGAGCGTTGTAAACCAAAGGGCCCGATTCTGCCAGAAAGCACTCAAGTGCCAAGGCCCGGGAAAGCTGGGGCGGTGGGTGGCAGGGGCGGGGCGCGGCGCAGGGTTGGAGTCGAGGCCGGGGAGGGGGAGTCCCCCCACCCCGAGAAGCAAGGGGATGAGTGGGGTGGGTGCCGTAGAGGGAAACCGAGCCGCGTCCCCGGGCAAAGTTAGTTGAAGTTGCTGGGGAAAGGCAGAAGGAGCATCCTTGGAGCGAGGCGAGGGAGAGCCGGGCGGCCAGCAGCCCGGGCGTGCGTTTCTGAGAACGCAGCAGGCGCTGCACGGAGGAGGACCAGGAGCTCGCGGGCGGGGACTGGTAGCGCGCTACCCGGGGTGCCGCGGCATTGTATGCTGGGGAAAGGGAGATTATTGGAAATATCGATCTCCTCTTCCAGTGGTGCGGGATGAACTTTAAGATAAAGTAGGGAAACAAATCAGAGAGGTCCATCATTAGATGGGGCCCGCAGGGGCATCTCTGTGGCTCGGGCGGGCGTTCCACCAGGCTGTGTCTTTCCAGCGCAGCTCGTCCCCGTGCTCCGCGGGTGGGGTGGGGGTGAGGGGAGGGATGTACGTGCAGGCGGACCTAGGTTCTTACGGAGCTCCAGTATGCACCCTCAGCCCTTTGAGCACGGGGCAAAGGACTGAGAAACCCGCTCCTAACTGTCCTCTCGGCAAAAAAGAGAAGCCCTCGCCACAATAGAAACCGGACTTGAAATGTCTTCTTGAACGCCTGGCGCAAGGCTCGCTGTGGGGAGGCCTGAGCCAAATTTGAAAGAGTGAGACTTATTCATGTTTTTTTTTTTTTAAAACCTGAATTGGTGCCAAACAGCAGACAAATCCTCCGTTCCCTAAAAATAGCAACAGCTCTTCAAATATAATTTGTTTACTCTACCTCAATTAAAAATAAAACCTTCTTCCTAGTGTTATAAAGTGCTTATGAAGGTAAGGGTTGACTGAACTAAAAAAAAAATCAAGCTTTTTATTTCTAGATCAATATGATGTACTTTCAACATCTAATACCATGTAAAAGGAGCCTTTTTACAACATCAATAGCAGCCAGGCATGGCTCCCTAAGAAACTCTTTTCCTGGAATCACAAGGCATTTTGATTACTTTCATTTTCACAAGAAACATGATTATGACACCTCTGGTTATAAACAAGCAAGTGAAAGAAATAATGAAGATGGGGGTTCTTCCTATTGAGATCTGGAAATTCGGAACAATTGGGGCCCATGTTCATGACTGAACATAAAAACAAAGAGCTCTGCCACTAGTCATTGTGGACTGGGAGGTTTCTAATTATTCGGGGGCATTTTATCTTTAAAGCTGGGTTGTGGGGCTGTAGCAGGGAGATTTTGGGGGGATATGAAGGAACCCAATGTGTGTTTGAGCCCAGATTGCATGCACTGCCATTTAGACACTGGGAAATTTCATCTTCTAGTAGATTTTGTTGTAGATCTTTTGCACCCACTTGTCAATGTGCAAAATATACCATAGTGAGAATTGGTGTGTGTGTGGGGGGGTGAGGGGGGGAAACGGTGGAAGCATCTGCTTAGGTTGAATTTCTTTCTTCAATTAGAATGAAAACCCCAATTAAAGTGTAGATGTGCAGTGTCTCTGATTTGGCTGAGTGCAGTTGACAACAGACCATTCTTTAATTTACAGTTTCACGCCTAGGGATGGCAGTAAGTGTCAGCGTCCCAGACCCAGCTTTCTCTTGTAATGTTGTTCTTTTCAACCTTCGAGGCTCGCTCATCGTCATTGCTTCAGCTTCTCTGCTCCATCACGCTGCAGGCTGGGCAGCGGTGATTCCTGCGGGCAGGCTGGACCTGGGTCACCTTATTAGTTGTCACTTTATTGCCCCAAATAGAAGCAGGCCAGGTCTGTATGATGTTGAATCAATCAACTGAAAGTGAAAAATGGAGCCAATTAGCTGACTGCTTCGTTGTCCATGGGGCTAGATATCTCACTTTATTTACCTGATTGACCAGTTTTGGATGGCTTCAACCTGCGTGTGTGAAAAGACCTTTCCACTAGGCCAGACTAGACCTTTCTCCACCCCACATTTCTTTTCTCACTGGCCCCCCGCCCCCACACATATTCCAGACTACACATATACAGTGGCACCCTTACCCAGATCTGCTCAGAATAGGCCATGGCTTTTTTGAATTCAGCTCTGGATTAACCCAGGTCCAGGGCTGGCTTCAGATTAGCCATCGTCTATTCTGGTTTAATTCTTGGTACCCACTCTTTCTTTTCAAGCAGGCAAGAGGCTCCAATGCAGCTCCACTAATGGATGTGGGTAAGTTGAGAGCTTGTGCCGACTGCCTTTTACTTTCTTAAAATTTAAAAAAAAATTTTTTTTGGAACTGGACTCTAC